TATCTTTCACTGTGCCATGCTGAAGTCCTTTCAGTGAATATCTTAATGGTGAAAGACTGAATGCTTTCCCTTTAAGATCAGAAACAGACTGGGATATCAACAATCACCACTTCCATTTAATGTTCCACTGGAGATTCTAGTCAGTGCAATAAGGAAAGAAAAAGAAATAAAAGGCATCTGAATTTAAAACAAAAAACTTTCTTTGTTCACAGATGACACAATTGTCCATGTACAAAAGTCTCATGAAACAGCAAGCAAAAGCTAATGAGAAAACCAGAGCTTCACACAAAAGCTCCTCCCCACTCCCTTTTTGCAGGTAGAGCCCATCTGTTTTCAACACACCCCACATAGTGAACACAACCCCCAAGACTACAGAGGCTTAAAAAATAAGGCCTATGTTATCATACAGTCCAGAGCAGTATAAGGTAGTATGTTCCAGGGATGAGTGATCTGGAGGCTGTACAAACCCATGACAGATATCAGGTGTAGAGTCAACAAAGTCCATAAGGAAGAGAAGTCTTTCATGGAAGCTCCAGGCCATACTCAGCTGGAGATGGTCACCAGGGCCAGAAAGGCCAGGTCCTTAAGGAAACAGGAAACTATGAAGCTGGATCACTAGTTTCCTTTGGGAAGGATCCTTTCACTGCTGTATGGAGAAGAGATGAGAATGATTTCCTGAACGTGGTAACATCCAGGTGAAAGGGAATGTGCTTGTGCTACAGCAAATCCAGATCTCACACTCCAGGTCTACCAGTTCAAACTATGGGAAATGCATACATTAAGATTAGTTGGTGACAAAGGGATAGACACATATCAGGCGTTACTCAGAAAACCACACATTTGGCAACCACGGCAAGAGCTACGGAGGGGGTATCCTTGGTGGGTATTGACTGAGGCCCCTCTCCATTCTCTGTATTTCAGGAACTCTGGGTCTGTCCTCATGTGTGTCTCCTGTGGAGTGACCTCTACGACTGGCTTTAATCTTTTCGTGAAGAGAAGTAATCATGGTTGATTCTTTTGTGTAGTTGTCAACTATTTTTTAAAATTTAACATTTTAATGGTTCTAAATATGTAAGCAGATTAGGTATCTTGCTCGAAGACAGGGAGAAGGATTCACTATTCTCTTTCCCTATGGTGCCCTTCTCCCCCCTCCCCCACCCCCAGTCAGCTGTGATGATGGGGCCAAGGTCTGGGCCCAGCACAGGTCCTGCAGAATAGTCATATACTCACTCAATAAACACTACCTGATGCCAGACTGTATGCCAGACCCTTGCCTGTTGTGTGGGGTAGATTCATCCCAATCTGATGCACAATATCGAGATTTAACAAGTGTATCAGTCCATTTCTGTTGCTTATAACGAAATACACGGAACTGGGTAATTCATAAAGAAAATAAAATTTATTGCTTACAGTTTCAGAGGCTAGGAAGTCCAAAGTCAAGAGAACGCATCTGGTGAAGGCTTTCTTTGGTGGTGATTCAGTGACAGCAGGGTATCACATTGCAAAAGTGGCAGAGCAGAGAATAATCTTTCCATTCACTCTTTTTTTTTTTTTTAAAGATGACCGGTAAGGGGATCTTAACCCTTGACTTGGTGCTGTCAACACCACGCTCACCCAGTGAGCGAACCGGCCATCCCTATATGGGATCCGAACTCGGGGCCTTGGTGTTATCAGCACCGCACTCTCCCGAGTGAGCCACGGGCCGGCCCTTCATTCTCCTTTTAAAGCTGTCAGAACATGCCCCTGTCCACCATTACTAATCCATTTGCTGCGGCATGGTCCTACGATCTAATCACCTCTTCAAGTCTCCATCTTTCAATTACAATAATAGGATTTCACTCTCTTAACAGTCACAGTGGGGGCCAAGTTTCTAATACATAAAACTTGGGGGACACAATTCAAGCTTCAGTAAGTTTAGGGGGGACATTCAGTGTACTACGACATGTAAACATACCAAAGAATAGGGCAACTGCAGATAGTGGCTAAAGCTCTGAAGAAAATTAGAGGTCAGAAAGCAATAAACATTACCTCTCCACAGTGACTCCAGGGGAAAAGTGTTCACCGGGCAGGAATGAGTCTGCTGCATTTGAGAGCAACAAGGAGACTCTGTGGCCCGTGTCTGAAAAGAGAGGCACAGCATGAGGTCGGGAACCAGGTCCTGCTGGCCCTGTAAGCTGAGTGAGGGGTATGGTTTATTCTAAGCCCAGTGGGAAGCCACAAGATGGGTTCACTGCACTAAGGAAGGCCCAGGCTGAGTGTGGTGATGCTGGGGGTTGAGGTCAACTTCTGCATGCAAATGCCATGCTGTTGGGAGCTTCCCGTGGCAGAAAAAGGCAATTCAGAGTTAGGTGGAGTGGACACATGATTAGCCTTTAAGTTGGTGGAATCTGAGCCTCTAGAGCCTGGTGTGACTTTTCTTGTCTGTGGGTGTGGTGGAAAAGATGGTGCAGGGCTCCAGGAGCATTGCCCTGGGCTGTCTGTGACTGGAGAGAGGGTATCGATATGGGAGGACCACTGTGGGGAGGATCTTGAGTCAGGCAGAGCTCTCTCCCTTCCAGGGGATTTATATACAACTCTAAGTAGCTTCCACCAAAATAACATTATTTAAGTCCACAGGACAGCTTCAGGGACAACTGGATCCAGGCTCAATGAAATCAAAAGGACTGTCTTGCCATCACTCAACATCTCTTTAGGTTTGGTTTACAGGCATGCCTGCTGGTTGGTGGCACAAACTCCCAAATCTGGCACAAGACCTCCATAGGGGCCAGGAGAGCCTCTTCCTTCACAATTCCAGTAAGTCCTATGACTGACTCATCAGCATGTCTCAGGTCCGATGACCATCCTGCCCCCATCATCACAGCTCAGGTTGAATATTAAATATCTGATGACCAGGCCCAAGGCATGTGCTCAACCAACATCTGATGAATAAAGTGGAAGAACGAGTAACTGATGAATATACTTCTTTGCCCACTGTTATTAGCAAAGTCCTCTTCAGACCTTTCTCTATTTCTCCCTGTAAAACTGACATACTGGTCTGCTTAGGGTGCTAGATAACTGAATTCCAGAACCTGGCTTTAAAAACGAAAATCCTCTACATTAAGAAAAGGAAACTCATTGTTGTGGACAGAATGTTTGTTTCCTCCCAAAATGCACATGTTAAAGCCCTGCCCCCTCGGTGAAGTTTGAGCTGAAAATGATGGAATTAGTAAGCCCCACCCAAACTGGTACTCTGAGCAGGTCAAAGGGAGAAGCCATCATGCTTTGCTCCCGAGGTTCTGGTATCATCAGGAAAACATTACCCTCCATCCCCTCCCCGGTAGATTGCTTAAGTGGGGACCAGAAGGCAGCTTCGGGGGAGGCGCAGAGGACCTTCACCAATGTGCTGGGAGCTACTTTATGAGATCTAACCATGGCCATTTACACACAATACAAAGAACTGAACTCTGATGATTAGTGTTGACCCTACTCCCATTTTCTTGGAGGTCTGAGCTCCACATGGCTCAGATGGACTCCAACTCTGTTCCCACACAGACTCCTAGGTTGGAGGTAGTAGTTATTACACCCAAGGAGGAGGGCCTGATCAGGCCTGGGAGTAGGTATACATACATGTCAGGGTGTTGCAGAGAAATTGAGTAGACTGGCTGCAAACTCCCCTGACCACAAGCCTGCCTGCCTGCCTGGGGTTCTTCCCCAGTATGGTCATCACCCCTCCTACCAACCCTCCTACAGTGGATTGGGCAAGAATTACTTTAGGCAGAGGCAGCAGCAGCAGCAGTCTCAACCCCCAACACACAGTATACATGTCAGGGTGTTGCAGAGAAATTGAGTAGACTGGCTGCAAACTCCCCCGACCACAAGCCTGCCTGCCTGCCTGGGGTTCTTCCCCAGTATGGTCATCACCCCTCCTACCAACCCTCCTACAGTGGACTGGGCAAGAATTACTTTAGGCAGAGGCAGCAGCAGCAGCAGTCTCAACCCCCAACACACAGTTCTGACTGAACGCTGTGGTCCAAAGCCCCTCAATCTGGGGGCTCCTGCTCTCTTCCCATTCTCTTCTCAGGAAGAACAACTTTTGGACTATGGACACAGCTACATCCAACTACATCCAACATACAAACTTTGCTGAACTGACATTTTACTTACCTTTTGGGGAAATCATTTCCAAAATTTAAAAAATCAAACGGTCCCACAGACCAGAAGATCTGGATCCATAATATTGAGTCTACCATCTCTCTCCCTTGAGCACCGGAGCGACAGCCCTGCCACTGTGACAACAAAAACTGGACAACAACAAAGGCATCCAGAAACAACACGAGCACTGGCCAGGTCACAAAGCCACATACCAGCACTATAGGATCTTCGTTTCTCTAAGTCCCGGGATGATGGCCATTGGGTGATCAGCCCAAGGAGGCTATGAGAATCCAGAAAACCTGTAGAATATCTGCTGATAGTGACCTCAGCCACAGATAACAGGTCTGCAATTCCAGAGAAGTCCTGGAATTCATGCTCCATGGAACCACAGCTGTGGATGACTCTGAATGACTCAAGCCCTCTAGTTTACAAGACTGAGCAGGCCCCTGTAGGTCTTACAGTCAATCTAGAGCTTCTAGAATTCAGAGGACATGGCTTCTGAGCTGATTCTGGAAACAGCTTCTTCTGACCAATGCCAGAGGTTGGGAAACATTCCTTTGGAACAAGGGACCCAATTTTTGCTGTCCCTAGACTCACAGAGGATCTCACACCAACTACCCCCTTCTTCAGGTAGAGCGCTGGACCCACAGATAAGCCTGACATCTAGAATACAAGTCTTTCCCTTGAAGACTCAGGTACCAATGCAAGTTAGGCCAACCTTGCCTAGAGCTGTTTTCCACCATCCTGCTGTCCCTGCTGAAGCAGACAAAAGTCAGGCAACCCCCACAAAATCCATTTCCTATATTCATGGTGACAGAACCCAAATCCATTCTCGATCCCCCTCCATACAGGGACCAGAACCCCCAACATTAAAGGTGGCTTAAACAATAAAGGCTTTATTACTATACAACCACAGTGTTATGAGTCTGTGCCCAGCCATGACAAGTATCATGTATAGTGTCAACAGTGTCCATGAAAATGATAAACCTTCCCTGAAGCTCCCAGTTCCTTTTGGCCAAAACTGGGTCATGTCCATGCCTAAGTCAGCCAGTGAAGAAGGAACAAGGTCCATCATGGGCTCCACCATTTAATGATTCTCCCCTGTCTGGAGCAGGGAGCATGAGGTCTGTCATCCCTAAACATGTTGCAGCAACTGAGGCACACATGGGGACCTGCTGAGTGGTGGAGGTGGGATAGCTTCTGTCACAGAAACTGGCAGTGACATAACACTGCCTCCAGCCCTGGACAGGTCAGAGAATGCAACTTAGTTCCTGAAAGCTTCCCAGCCACCTGGCACACATTGGGAGCTGCCCCAGGGTGGGTGTTGGGATGTGCAAGATTTAGCTTCTTTCAGATGGCACTCTCACAAAGGCTGCTTTCCTCCATCTTCTTTCTGGAATGAGACCTTGCTGAACAAGGTGCTAGTGGCTAAAGGCTTTTCCACAGGCCCTGTCCTCCTAAGGCCTTTCTCCAGTGTGTACTTTCTTGTGCTGAAGGAGTGTAGAACTATGTTTGAAGGTTTTCCCACATTCTGTACATTCATAGGACCTCTCTTCAGTGTGAAATTGCTGGTGCCGATTGCGGTAGGACCTGGTGGTGAAGGTTTTCCCACACAGGCTGCACTCATAGGGCCGTTCCCCAGTGTGAACTTTCCAGTGCTGATACAAGCCAGAGTGGGTCACATAGGTTTTTCCACATTGCTTGCACTCAAAAGGCCTTTCTCCAGTGTGAACTCTCTGGTGAAGAATGAAGCTATTATTGTATTTAAAGAACTTTCCACATTCCCTGCACTCATAGGGTCTTTCTCCAATGTGAACTTTTCGGTGTCGAATGAGGGTAGACAGAACGCTGAAGGCTTTCCCACATTTGCTGCACTCATAAGGCCTTTCTCCAGTGTGAATCCTCTGGTGCAGAACAAGTGCATCTTTGCGGTTGAAGGTTTTCCCACATTCACTACACTTGAAAGGTTTTATGCCTGTGTGAACCTTCTGGTGCTTCCTCAGTTTAGATGGGTAACTGAAGGCCTTCCCACACTCGTTACACACATGGGATGTTTTTCCAGCATGAATTTTTCGGTGATTAACATGAGTTGATTTCACCTTGAAGGCACTTCTGCCTATCGGGCACTTGAAAGGTCTCTTTTCCAAGTGAGTTATCAGATGGTCAAGGAGAGCGAAGGCCTTCAAGAAGATCTTCCCACAGTCACTGCACTTGAAGGGCTTCTGTGCGGTGTGGACTCCCTGCTGCTGCCTGCGATTGGAGCTAGGCAGGAAGGCTGCCCCGTACTCATTGCTTCTGCATAGCTTCCCCTTGCTATGGGTGGGCTGGTGCTGGAGGAGGTCTAAGGTGGCCGGAATATCCTTCTCAGACTCTCCACACATGAAGGGCTTTTCTGACAGGTGGACTCTGCAACTTTTCTCTTGCCTGGATGGAGCTTCTTCATTATCCACAGTACACAGGCAACCTGAAAGCAGAGAAGAGTCAGTTACTGAGAGTTGGACTGGAGGGAGGAGGTACTTTTATCACCAATGCACATCAGATCCACCCAGAAAAGACTTTGTAGAATTGCTGGGAGGTTGCTGGGAAAGGTCCAAGTGAGGAAGGGTTGGCCCAGCAGAACAGGGGTCCACCAGACCACAGAATAGGTAAGACCTCAACTGCAGTGAGGACACAAGATGGGGTGCAGTGCAGGAAAGAGAGCTGGGGTTTCCAAGTCACTCCTTTGCAAAGGGCTTCAGGGGGGCCTTGGCTCCTGGTGACTGCCAAGCATTGTGAAGAAACAGGTATACAGTCCCAGGAAAATCTGGGACAGTTGCTGGTGTTCATGTATTATTTAAGCAGGGCCAGCCCGTGACTCACTTGGGAGAACGTGGTGTTAATAACACCAAGGCCACAGGTTCGAACCCCTATACAGGGATAGCTGGTTAGCTCACTTGGGAGAGCGTAGTGCTGACAAGTATTACTTAAGCATTAGCTGGTGTTCAAGTATTATTTAAGGATACATGCACATCTCAAGTTACACACAGAGTGGTCACCAGTGGATAGCTTTGCACAGGCACAGAGAAGGGGCAATGGCGAGACATAGGCCAGAGAGATGGTGTCACCCAGGGCCTGAGAATCATGGTAGAGATGCTGAGACTGTGGTGTCCAGAAGGGAAAGGAAAGGTGGGAATAAGATGTAGTCACTGGCCTCTACACCAGAACACTTGCGCCAAAGTACCCAGCATGCCATGAACCCACTGCTAAAACTAAGGCAACCCCCAGCTCCACTCACCAAGACCAGGACCCCTCCTGGCCTCTGGTCTGCTGACTGGAGTCACGTCCATCCAGCTGGGCACCCAGGGCTCTTCATCACCCTCCAATTGGGCAAACACATGGGATCTTGATGGTGCAAATCCTGGGGGTGATAGGTAGTAAGAGGTCAGCCCAAGCAAGCCAAGGCTGACCCACCCTCCTACTGACCACAGAAAGCTCATGTCATGATGGCAACTAGGAAGGAAAGTGAGTTTAGAAAACAAACCTCCTTTGTTCACTTGAAAATTTAAGAGGGGAGATCTTAGTTTTTTTACCACCAAAAACAAAACAAAACAAAACAAAAACCCTCCTGTAAAGCAAAACTAACGTAACTAAAGTGAGAAATAGACAATTCAACAATAATATCTGGAGACTTCAATTTCCCACTTTCATAGAACCACTAAGAAGAAAATGAACAAGGACAAAGCAGACTTAAACAACACTGAAAACCAACTAGACCTAACAGACACCTAAAGAACATTCCACCTAACAACAGCAGGATACCCACTCTTGTCACATTCTCATATGCACATGGAACATTCTCCAAATGCTAGGACATGAAACAAGCTTCAGTAAATTTCAAAGCATGTGCTCTGTCCACAAAAGAATTAAAACAGAAAAAAACAACAAAAAGGAATTTGAGAAACTTACAAATTTATGGAATTTAAATAAAATCCTCCTAAACAATCAGAGTCAAAGAAAAAAAATCACATGAAAATTACAAATACTTTGAGATGAATGAAATGAAAACACAACACATCAAAAGTCATGGGTTGCAGCAAAAGCAGGGCTTAAAGGTAAAATTATAGCTATAAACACCTATATTTTAAAAGATCTCAAACCAATAATCTAACTTTACACCTCAAGTAACAAAAGAAAAGCAACTAAACCTAGCAGAAGCTAACTAACGCTAGCAGAAGAAACGAAATAATAAAGATTAGAGTAGAAATAAATGAAATAGAGATGAGAAAAATAAAATCAACAAAACCAAAACTTGGTTCTTTGAAGAGGTCAACAAAATTGACAAACCTTTACACAGACTGACAAGAATAAAGGAGAGAAGACTCAGTTTACCATAAACAGGAATGAAAAAGGCAACATCACTAGCAATCTTACAAAAATAAAAAGCATTATAAAGAAATACTATAAACAACTGTATGCCAACAAATTAGGTAACTTAGATAAAATTTAGATTACTAAATAAACACAAACTACCAAAAGTGACTCAAGAAGAAACAAAAAATCCGAACAAACTTATAACAGAGAGGTTTTTTTGTTTTTTTAAAATTAACTTCACATACACACACAGAGAGCCCAGGTGGCTTCAATGGTGAATACTAAAAACACTGAAATAAAATTTAACACTGATACTTCACAAACTCTTGCAGAAAACAGAAGAGGAGGGAACATTTCCCAACTCATCCATTGAAGTCAAAGTTACCCTCATACTCAAACCAAACAAAGACATTACAAGAAAAGAAAATTACACCACTGTTAGCGCTTATGAATATAGATGCAAAAATCCTCCACAAAATACTAACACACCAAATCTAGAAACACATAAAAAATATCATAAGCCATGACAGAGGGAATTTATCATGGCAATGCAAGGTTGAACATATGAAAATCAATTACTGTAATATACCACATTAATAGAAAAGAGGACAAAAAGATCACATGATTATTTCGACATGGGAAAAACATTTGACAAAATCTAATGATCTTTCATAATAAATCCAATCAACAAACTAAGAAAAGAAGGAAACTTCCTTACCTGAAGTGGGTATCTGCAAAAAACCAACTTAATAGTGACCACAATAATAGTGAAATACTGGGCCGAGCCCGTGGCGCACTCGGGAGAGTGCGGCGCTGGGAGCGCAGCAGCGCTCCCACCGCGGGTTTGGATCCTATATAGGGATGACCAGTGCGCTCACAGCGCTCACTGGCTGAGCGCGGTGCGGCTGGTCTCAAAAAAGGACAAAAAAAAAAAAATAGTGAAATACTGAATGCTTTTTCCTTCAAATCAGGAACAAGACAAGGAAGTCTACTCTTGCCACTTTTATTCAATAAAGTACTGGAGGTACTAGCTAGATCAGGCAAAGGAGAAAGTAAAACTACCTCCATTCACAGATGATGACCTTATGTATGGAAAAACTATGAGAACTAATAAACAAATTTAGCAAGGCTGCAGGATACAAGATCAGTATGCAAAAATCAATTGTATTTCTACAACTAGCAATGAACAACCCAAAATAAAATTAACAATTCCATTTTAAAATAGCATCAAGGGGCCGGCCCGGTGGCGCACTGGATAAGTGCGCTGCTTGGGAAGCGCGGCGGCGCTCCCGCCTGAGGGTTCGGATCCCACATACAGACCGGTTCCCGCTCAATGGCTGAGCGAGGCGCGGGAGCAACGCCAAGGGTTGCGGTCCCGTTGCCGGTCCCCGGTCCGGTGCGGGGGCAACACTGAGGGTTGCGATCCGTTGCCGGACACGGAAAAAGACAAAAAATAAGTAAATAAATAAATAATAAAATAGCATCAGACAATAAAATATTTAGGAATAAATTTAACAAAAGAAGTACAAGCTTTGTACACTAAAATACAAAACATTATTGAGGGCTGACTGGTTAGCTCAGCTGGTTAGAGCTCAGTGTTGGTAACACCAAAGTCAAGGGTTCACATCCCTGTACCAGCCTGCCACAAAAAAAAAAAAAAAAATTAAAGAGCTAAATAAATGGAAAGACATCCTATGTTCACTGATCAAAAAACTTAATATTAAGACGGCAATACTCCCCAAACTGATGTACTCATTCAAATTCATGGCTCAAACCTGGCCCAGGGAGGGCCCTGTAAAATTTCTTTTGGAGGAAGAAGGCAAAACCCAGAGCACAGAGGAGCTATGTCTTCAACAGAGTTACAGGGCCAGGGAGAGGAGACCTGGATGGAATCTGGTACGCAAACTGTGAAACATCTGACCCCCAAACCCTGCTCCACTAGGCCCTGGGGCAACAGGTGTTGAGGCTGTTAACAGGGCTACTAAGAGAGAGGCAGGGGAAGAGCACACAACTCAGTCTCAGCATCCACAAAATCTACAACAGGGAACTTGGGAAGGAAACAGCCCTAGTGATCTGGCTTTGGTATGGACAGAACTTCCAATGGGGAAAAGGCAAAGGTGGTCAGTGTGCTGGGGGAGAGACTTACCCAGTGAGCTAATGAGTGCAAAGTTCTCCAGCATCACATCACGGTATAGGCTCCTCTGGGTCACATTAAGGAGCCCCCACTCCTCCCGGGAGAAATACACAGCCACGTCCTCAAACATAACAAGGCCCTGCAATGATGGGTTCAACTGAGCCTTGGGGTCAATAGTAGACAGAAAAAAACCAATCAAAATAGGAAGAGATGTTCCTCGATCCGTGCCTCAGGGTCCTGACACTTCTCCCACTGATATTATCTTTCCCTATGAGCCCCAAACCTTCCCCCCACTTCATCCCCCATGCATACCCTCATACCTCCCTTCTCCCAAGACTCCTACCTCAGAAAAATACCAGGAACCCTCGTGTCACTGATGCCTCTGGTGTTACTACTCGACACTATATCCAGCCTGGTGACGAGACATGCCATCTATATGCAGGGCCAAGCACACAGGCCCCGACTTATTCCTGCCTCCCAGTTGCCTCCAAGTCCCATTAATCACACTTCTCAGATGCAACCAAACCTATGCTCACCCTTCTCCCTTAGGTCCAAGTACCTTGTCCCAGAGCTCCCTAGTTTGCCCTCCTGCCTACCTAACTCTGAACGGCATCATGCTTACAACCCTACACCCCCAGAGTCCCATTAATCACACTTCTCACATGCAACCAAACCTATGCTCACCCTTCTCCCTTAGGTCCAAGTACCTTGTCCCAGAGCTCTCTAGTTTGCCCTCCTGCCTACCTAACTCTGAACGGCATCATGCTTACAACCCTACACCCCCAGCACAACCTCACCAGTTCACCCCATAGGCAACTCCCTGGCCTCCTTACATGCAGTTCTGTCCATTGTGTCTCCAAGTGCCTAGCATAGCAACCTCGACCCCATCCTGCCCCACACTTCCAATGGCCACCACTGCCAAGGGCCTCCCTCGTGCTGCATTGAAGACGTCCCCACCTGGATCTATTCCTCAGCCTCCCGGAACTACAGGCAGATCTCCGAGGTCCCCAGTCCTCCTCCACCACCTCTGCCTTAGCAGATGCTGTCCCTTCACCTGACACAGCCTTCCTCACTCCTCCTGGGTCACCCTACACTCACTGGCGCATCCTTGGCCATTGGAACCTGTCGACGGAGCGGGGCCGCGAGAAGCGCTGACCAGGGCCCGACTAGCGGACTGAACCGAAACGCTTCCCCGCCACCCCGGCCTGGGCGCAGTTATCCTCCGGCCACCGTTGAACCTTCGAAGGCAGGTCTCCCCCCGCCGGGGTAAAATGCGCCCAAGTACTAGGGAACCGCCTTCGGTATACGCGGGGAAGGAGGGCGGAGCGGAGGCCGGTTCTGTGAGTGACGCCGAATCTCAAGAAGACGGATTCCTTTGCAGGTGGGGGTCAGAGCGCTTGCTAAGGCGCCGTGAGGGTCTCTGCCCTTCTTCTCGACCGGGGTGATATCCTAGCCCGCCCACAGCTATCTGAGGTGCTCGGACCGCCCCCACCCGACGCAGCATAATGACGCTAACCCCAACACCGGAAGTCCTGCGCCACTCACTTAGCTTGTGCCTCATTAGCTCAGCTGCGGCATCACGATTTGACATAATTTCCCTGCGCCCGTAGCTACGCAGGGCTTGATTGTTGCCAAGGTGATAGGGGAGGGCACAACAGCGTCTTAAGGATGTGTGCAAACTACATTTCCCATAAGCGAATTCGTCGCGCGACCGTACAGACGTGGCCAATGACGGCTCAGAAGAGGGGCGTTTCTGGGCGGGACTTCCGGCGTCAGTTTCTGACAGTTGCTCTGCAACCACAACCAGGTAGAGATTTCGCTGGGTCGTGGACGGTGTTCGGGGGGCTACCCGGGCCCACGGAATCTGTAGTGGGGAAGGCACGGAGAAGTTCTGCCTCCGTGACCTATACGCTCCCTGACCATGGCGAATGTTCCTCCCTGAGCCCCGATGTCCCTGGTCGTAGAGTGGCCGTCGGGGCGTGTCGCTCGAGAGTGTCTGCCGGGGACTCCTCCGCAAAAGCCTGTCTGTGCCCGCGACCGCCCCGGAGTCATCCCTCTTGGCGTTGTATCCTCTTTAGGGAGCGGGAGACGAAGTTTCAGAAAAGTGTCCTGGCCAGAGTTCAACGAGCAGCTGGGAACTAGCGGCCGGGAAACCTCGGTGGGAGGAGCAGGTGTTGAGGGAAAATCAGCGGTTGGGTTTTAGATGTGTTGAGCCTTCGGTGCCCCACAGTGCAGGCGATGTATGGGTCACTGGATACACACAGGTGTGGGATGCCAGGGACGGGTCCGACCTGCGCATGTCCAAGGCACGATAGGCCCGTAGCCTACCTCATATTGGGCCATGGTGCCATCTCAGATATAAGGTTCTCGTGGCGTACAGTGAGCACATGGTTGAGTGTGGCAGGGGGCAGGGTTTGGGACACATCAGGGCATGAGGCTGGTAGGAGAAGAACCGGGATCCTGGGCGTCTGCCCTGAATTCAGACGCACTCATTTTAGTGGACGTGGCCCTGTGTCTCCAATGAGCAACCAAGCTCCTAGCTGAGGTCCAGAGCAGCATCTACCTCAAGGTGATGCTGGAGAACTTTACACTCATAGCTTCAGTGGGTCAGGCCACTGGCTTCCTCACTCTTCCCAACAGGAACCCTGTCCCCCACCTCTCTGTCCTCCATGCTTCATTCCCCTGCCCGCTCTTTCTACTTAGTTCTGAGATACTGGTTATCCCTTAGCACGACTTGGGCTAAAACGTATCCTTAAATAGTTCTTGAAAATCCGTTCCTTTGTAAGACAGGCTCGTTTCCTCATACTGGTGGGCAGAGGCATAGAGGGTCTAGGACCTGAGGCTAACAGAGGCTAAATGCTTGCAGTGGTCACACGGCTGGTGGGAGGCAGCACTACAGTTTGATCCCAAGTCGTCTCGGAATGAAGTCCCACTCCGAGAAAAGTTACCTTTCCTGGATTTGTATTAATGACTCATTATGTTTTTCCTGGCATCACCTCCTTGAACCTCACTTTAGTTTCATTTTTTATGCTTTTCAGATTTCAGGCCTAGTGCTTTCTTGTAGACTACAGGAGTGAAATAATGGAGTCTTACTGAGGAGAAGACAGGGTGACCTTGAGCTACAGGACATCTATTTAGGGCTGGCTGCTTGAAGGATTGCACTGTGGACTGAATTGTGCCCCCTGCCCCCGAATTCATATGTTGAAGCCTTAACCCCCAGTGTGGTTGTATCTGGAGTAAGGGAGTAATTAAATTTAAATGGAATAAAAGTGAAGCCCAGATGTAATAGGATTAGTGTCCTTATAAGAGGAGAAACCACAGAGTTCACTCTCTACCATATGAGGGAGGACACAGCAAGAAGGCAGTCATCTGAAAACCAAGAAGAGTGCTGGATCCGAATTAGCCAGCCTTGATCTTGGACTTCCCAGCCTCCAGAACTTCAAGAAAATTACTTTGAGGGAGGACACAGCAAGAAGGCAGTCATCTGAAAACCAAGAAGAGTGCTGGCTCCGAATTAGCCAGCCTTGATCTTGGACTTCCCAGCCTCCAGAACTTCAAGAAAATTACTTTCTGTTGTGTAAGCCACCCAGTCTATGGTATTTTATTATGGCAGTGAGAGCAAACTAAGACAGATGGTAAGAGGAAGGTGCAGTTTGGGTTGCTGGGGCAGGGGGCACCTGAAACTGTCAGAATCTCAGTGCAGCATGGAAAGCTGTTGATGGTTGGGAGACAGTCCTGCCAGCCAGTTGTGAAGGGTTGTGGGGTGTGATCAGAAGAGAGACGTGTCCAAGCCGGAGAAGTGGAAGTTCCGCAGAGACCACACGCCCTGCGGTGCCAGTACGTGACCCAGCAGGTAGGCCTTGCTTCCGCCACCTGAATCCATCCCCAGCCCGGCCGAGTTCATGCTGACCAGAGAGGCGACTCCCCAGAGACACCCAAGACCAGAGGCGACCACACACCCAAGGCACTAGTGGGGAACCGAGCAAACACTGAGTCAGCCATACCAAATTGGGAGCCCCAGCAGCATCCTACCCAGACAATAGTGTTAAACCAGTGGACCGTGAAATCCCCTGCCACAATGAATAAACATCAAAGGAAAGATACCAGAAATATGAAAAATCAAGAAAGTTCACCACCAAAGGGTAATAACTCTCAAGATCTAGATCCTATAGAACAAGAAGCCCTTGAAATGTCTGACAAGGAATTTCGAGTGATAATTCTAAGGAAACTAAATGAGATACAAGAAAACTTAGCTAGACAACACAATGAAATGAGGAAAAGTATACAGGACCTAAAAGAAGAAATGTACAAGGAAATCAATGCCCTGAAAAAGAACGTAGCAAAGCTTGCCAAGCTGAAGAATTCATTCAACAAAATAAAAAAACACAACAGAGAGTTTAACCAGCAGGCTTGCAAAAGAGAGAACTTCTGACCTTGAAGATAGGTTGTTTGAAATAACACAGGCAGACGAAAAAGAAAAAAGAATTAAAAACATCAAAGAAAATCTAAGAGAGATATCAGACAACATTAAGCACTCAAATATCTGAATCATGGGTATTCCAGAAGTGGAGGAAAAAGGAGATTGCATTGAAAACATATTCAACAAAATAGTGGCAGAAAACTTCCCAGGTATAGGGAAAGACACAGATGTTCAGATTTAGGAAGCTGAAAGATCACGAAATGTATTCAACCCAAAAAGGTCTTCTCCAAGACATGTTATGGTCAAATTGGCAAAACTCAAAGACAAAGAATCTTAAAAGCTGCAAGAGAGAAGTGTCAAGTCACCTAGAAGGGAGCCCCAATCAGACTAACGTCAGACTTTTCATCACAAACCCTAAAAGCCAGAAAGGAATGGGATGATATATTCAAAATACTAAAAGATGCCCAAGGCATGGATAAGGGGACTGGACCTCCCTCCCACAACCAGGCACACCATGCCAGCACCTTAGGGCCTGCCCAGGGACCCAAGGCAAGGAGAAGAGGAATGGACCTCTCTCCCACAATCTGGCACACTGAACCAGTGTTTCAGGGCCCACTTGCAGACCTGAGACATGGAGGACGGGACAGGACCTCTCTCCCACAACCAGGCACACTGAGGCAGCGCCTTGGGGCCCACCCAGGGACCCAGGATATGGAGTCGGGGACGAGACCACCCTCCCACAACCAGGCACACCAAGCCAGCACCTTGGGTCCCACCTGGTGACCTGAGGCATGGAGCCAGGAACCACACCTTCCTCCCACAACAAGGCATACCACGACAGTACCTTGGGGCCCGCCCAGGAACCTGAGGCAAGGATAAGGGGACCAAAGCTCTCTCCCACAACCATGGAGGTGCCAGCACCTCAGGGCCCGCCCAGCCCAGAGGCATGCAGAATGGGACTGGACCCTCCTCCCACACCAGGCACAAAATGCTAGCACCTCAGGGCCCACCTGGGTACCCAAGGTATGGAAAAGGGGACCGGACCCTCCTCCCACAACCAGGCACACTGCGCCAGTACCTCAGGGTCCTCCCAGGGACCCGGGACATGGAAAAGGGGACCGTACTCCTCTCCTGCAACCAGGCACATGGCGCCAGCGCCTTGGGGACTGCCCAGGGACCAGAGGCATGGAGAAGGGGACCAAAAGCACCCCACAACCAGGCATACCACCAGTGCTAAAGAGCATACCAAAAATATCATGTCCACGTGGGTGGCCCACCACAGCCACCACAATAAACAAGGCTGCTGCAAAAGCAGCTAGACACCACAACCACCACTGTCAACCACTGGAGTGCATTCACACAAGAAGAGTCAACAGCAGAGAAAAAGAAAAGAAGAGGATGTTTCTTTCCACAAAACCCATTTCACAGAAGAAGCATCTGCTTAATAATAATATTGGGAGGCGTGATCACATCTCTCACCATTGGACAGATCATCTAGGCAACAAATTAGCAGAGTAACCATTATTCTTTCAGAAGGAGAGAAGAAATCAAGGGCAATTGGGGGAGGGGGAAGGAATGAGAGAAGGGGAGAGATTGGACAAGGGACACAAAGAATAATTATGATTTGTAACAATATATATGCTAGTAATATTGCTTTCATCGACATATCTCAATGGGATTTGGGATTATACATAACCCCAAATATATGTATAATCGATTTTGATTCAATAAATAAAATAAGTTAAAAAA